ACTGGGCCTGTTCCAGTCCCGTGCTAAAATTAGCACAATCCCACGCTATTTTTAGCGTGGGACTGACTGTTCGTCTACTTGGGACTGGGCCTGTCTCAGTCCCGTGCTAAAATTAGCAGAGTCCCACACTATTTTTAGCGTGGCACTGAATGTTCATCTACTTGGGACTCCGTGCTAAAATTAGCACAGTCCCACGCTATTTTTGTTCGACTACTTGGGACTGGCTGTTCGTGTTCCAAGGTCGGGAGGCCTGGTCTATTTTTAGCCCCAGCCCCGACCATAGGACTGCTGCACTTGGGCCGGATCACCTGGCTTCTCCACTATATAAGAGAGGCTGTGTCACTCAAATGGACACACAACGCTTGAGTGAAACGCTGAAACGCTGGTGGAGCAGCAAGGAGCAGCAGGAGCCAAGGCCAAGGCAATGGGAGGAGCAGAAGAGGGAGCAAGCTTAACGAGATCGAGGCAAGCAAGGGGGAGAGGTAAGGGAGAGGTTGGGCAGCTTCCAGCGGGTGCAGTAGCCAGCTGCTGCACTTCTGCTGCTTGCTCACACCCACCTCCGTTTCCTCATCTTCCCTTCCTCTCGCTCCTCCTTTCTCCCCTGTTCTCTCTCTCTCTCCTTCTCACTCGCTCTTCCCAGCTCATGCGCTCACTCTTGCCCCGCTCAAACCCAGATCTATGTGCTCCTATTCTTCCCGTGTGCCTGCACGCCCCTCTGCCTACTATTACTGATCTAGATCGGTACGTCCTTGCTGATTTAATCAGTGCGCCCACGTGCGCATTATAGCTGGTCGGGATCTGCTCGCAGTTGCTGATCTGGATCGGTACGTTTTGCTGATTTAATNTGCTGATTTAATCAGTGCGCCCACGTGCGCATTATAGCTGGTCGGGATCTGCTCGCAGTTGCTGATCTGGATCGGTACGTTTTGCTGATTTAATCGACGCGCCTACGCACACATTATAGCCCGTCGGGATCTGCTCGCAGTTGCTGGTCTGGAACGGTGCGTTCTTGCTGATTCAATCAGCGCGCCCACGCACACATTAGAGCTGGTCGAGAACTGCCTGCAATTGATGATCGGATCCGTACGTCACTCAGCGCGCCCACGCGTGCATTTGATGATCGGGATCTGCTCGCAGTTGATGATCAGGATCGGTATGTCCTTGCTGATTTAATCAGCGCGGTCACGCGCGCATTATAGCTGGTCGGGATCTGCTCACAGTTGCTGATCTGGATCGGTACATTTTGCTGATTTGCTCGCAGTTGCTGATATGGATCGGTGCGTTCTTGCTGATTTAACCAGCGCGCCCACACGCGCATTATAGCTGATCGGGATCTGCCCGCAGTTGATGATCAGGATCGGCACGTGCTTGTTGGTTTAATCAGTGCGCCCTCGCACACATTGCATTGGGATCTGTCCGCCATTGCTGATCTGGATTTGTGCGGCGCGCCCTGGCGTGCACTATAGTCCAAACCTTTTACAAGAGATAAGAGGGGCGAAGACCTTGACACGTGGTTGAGGGCAGTGCCGGTCTACTTCAGGTGTAAACTCACCTTGCCGCACGAAGAAGTGCTTGTGGCTGCTTCCTACCTTGAGGGTAGTGCAGCAAGATGGTTGAGTGGTTTGGTACAACTCCAGGGGTATGGTCATGACTTCCGAGCTTGGGCGGCCTCCCAAAAATTGGACTTCCTGAAGATGGTGGAAGAAAGGTGGCATGATCCTCAGGAGGCCCAAAGGGCCACTGATGCGATCCTGACACTGCACACGCGGCAGTTTAGATCAGTAAGGGAAGCCACCGACGCTGTAGAGCGTCTGATCTGTGTCCCAGGGGTGAACTATAACCCCCAGTTCCTACTGACTTCGTACTTCAGATGCTTTTCTCAACCTCTCAGGAACCAGTTGGCAAAAGAGGCCAATATCAATATGCACAACTTTCCTTCGTTCAGCAAGGTGGCCCTAGACCTTGAAGCTAAGATAAGGCATGGACAGGCACCCACTACGGATGGGAGAAAAAAGACTGCCTCCCAACTGGAAGGCGAAAGGTCGCATCATGTTTGTCGACAACGATGGTTCAACCATCGAGTTGGACGGCAACTTCCAGGAGGGAGTAGGTTCAGTGGCGGGCAGCGTAGAAGCTTTTGAGGGTAGAGTAGTCGCTGCCGCTGCTAAAAAAGGTAAGGCGACCGGTAGACGCCGCGGAGGCTCCCGGTCTAGGAGTCAAGTTGACCCCAATGCTCCTCCATGGGAGAAAGTGGGTCTTACAGAGGACGTGTGGAGAGACCGTTACTCTCGGCACGCCTGTATTCGTTGTGGCCAATATGGCCACAACCAATTCAAGTGCCGCAATAAGAAAGTGACAGAAAAGATCCCGCCTACGATGGGGCAGGTGTTGGGATCCTCTCAACCCGTTGGTAGCAACGTTGCCAGTACTTCAGACAGTGCTCCGGGAAACATGTCGGGCCAGTAGGAATAGTAGCTGTTCCTGCTAGGGTCAAGGTGGTGGAGACGCCCTCACCATCTCGAGAGATGGCCCAAGCTACTGACTCCAGCGTCATCCCGCAAGCACATTCAGACCCATCGAGCCTCTGTTCGATGAATGTGTTTGAGTCCTTAGAGGAGCTAGAAGTGGAGTAGTCTAGATCAGACCCGCTAGCTTCTTGGACGACCTTAGTCAAAGCCCCTAAGGGTGAGATGTTCGTCAGTGAGGTTGTCATTGGCGGCCGCAAGGCCGGGGCCTATTATGACACTTGCTCGACACGGGACTTTATTAGTCGCGCGTGCGTTGAGAGGCTGCGTCTACAGGGGCAAGTGCAGCGCCTGAGTCGACCTGTGGAGTCGACCTGTGCCAACAAACAGCGCATGGTAGTCAACGACTACCTCCAAAATGTAGATTGTGTTCTCCCGTACGCGGGAGGGGATTTGAGACATCGTGTCTCGTTCCTAGTAAGCGACGAACTCCCCATGGATATGTTGTTAGGTATGTACTACCTCTCTGTGGCACAGCCCCAGTTTGACTGGGACCGAAAAGTGGTCAAACACACTTTGCCAGGTGGAGGGACCGCCAGATTACACAAGTTCAAAGTTAGTAGTCTGATTGAGTCCTACGGGTGCATGTGTGCGGCCGACTCTACAATTATTATAAGCAAAATCAGGAGGAGGGTATGTACTTAGTTTATGTCTCTGCTGCAAGCGAGCCGGTGAAAATGGCGCCGGAGATAGAGGGAGTGGTTGCTAAGTACCCGATCTATTTGAAGAGTCGACAGGGGTTGTTGAGAGGGAGGTCGTCCACGCGATAGAGATTATCCCAGGGTCTAGTATTCTGAAGGGTAGGATCTATCGGATGTCTCCGGGCGAGCTTGATGAGCTCTGCCGCCAACTCAAGGAACTCGTAGAGAAGGGTTGGATCCGGCCGAGTGTCTCTCCTTATGGGTCTCCAATACTATTCGTACCTAAGAAGAAGGAGGGTACACTTAGGATGTGCATTGACTATAGGGGCCTCAATGCCATCACTGCATCGATGATCTGTTAGATAGAGTGCAAGGGTGTCGATACTTCAGTAAGATAGATCTGAAGTCCGGGTACCATCAGATTGCAATCCGGCCCGAGGATAAACACAAAACCGCCTTTCAGACCAAGTACGGTCTGTACGAGTTTGTGGTGATGCCTTTCGGCCTTTGCAATGCTCTTGGCACCTTCCAGCACGCTATGAATCGGATATTCCATGACTACTTGGATAAGTTTGTCATCGTGTACCTCGATGACATACTTATTTTTAGTAAGACTGTCGAGGAGCACGTTGCACATTTGGACAAAGTCCTCAGTCTCCTGCGACAACACAAGTTCAAGATCAACGGTGAGAAGTGCGAGTTTGGCCGCACCCGTGTCTTGTACTTGGGTCATGAAATCTCCGCGGAAGGGTTGAAGCCCGATGACGCGAAGGTGGCCAGCATTCGTGATTGGCCACGTCCTCAGTCTGTGACTGAGATGAGATCTTCTTAGGAATGACAGGCTACTATAGGACTTTCGTTAAGAATTATAGCATAGTGGCCGCTCCTTTGACTGATCTGACCCGCCTTGACACCCCATGGGAGTGGACAGACGAGTGCGAGGCTGCTTTCAGACATCTGAAGCATGCGTTGACGCACTACGAGGTCTTGAAACTTCCTGATCCTGACAAGCCGTTCATAGTCACCACGGATGCCAGCCAATATGGCATTGGCGCCGTGCTCGCGCAGCAAGAGGGGCCAAAGTTGAGGCCAGTCGAATACATGTAAAAAAAGATGTCGTCTCAAGTCCACCTATGAGAAGGAACTCTACGCCGTGTACAAGGCTCTGACCCATTGGAGACACTATCTCCTTGGGAGATTCTTCATCCTCAGGACTGATCATCAAACCCTAGATGGATGAGAACTCAGCCCGTACTTTCTGACGCTCTGAAACGTTGGATCGAAGTCATTGAGCAGTATGACTTCGACCCCCAGTATCTCAAAGGGGAGTACAACAAGGTGGTTGATGCCTTGTCGCGTAGACCTGACTTTTCAGGTGCGCTGATTACTGAGTTTGACCTCACGGACGATGTAACTCGCTCTTTGGTGGATGCCTATCGCGAGGATCAGTTCATGTCGGAGATCATACGCAGACTCGAGGCGAAGGACAAAAAGACCTCCGCCGAGTTTGAGTTGGTCAACGGTTTGCTGTTTCTTGAGAAGGCCAGGAATAAACGGTTGTGCGTCCCAAATAGAGGGTCTTTGCGTAGTTTATTTTTAGGAGAGTGCCATGATGTCACCAGCCATTTTGGGTATAAGAAGACCGCAGCCAACTTGCTACAGCGGTTCTGGTGGCCCACGATAATGCGAGATGTTCAGCTGTATGTGGAGACTTGTCAAGTGTGTCAATGAGACAAGCCACGTACTTCCGATTCCAGAACGGGCTGGTGAGAGTCTGTCCATGGATTTCATGGATACTCTGATCACCAACAAGAGTGGGATGCGTCACATCTTCGTCATCGTGAATAGATTTAGTAAGTATGCTAGGTTAGTAGCCATGCCGGAAACAACAACGACAGAGTACGTGATCCGAATGTTCAAAGAAAACTGGGCTAGAGACTTTGGTTTATCCAAGTCTATTGTCAGTGACAGGGGTGTCAGGTTTACCAGCGAGTTGTGGAAGGCCGCTGCTGCAGAGCAGGGCACTCAGTTGCAAATGACTTCCGTGAATCACCTAGAGGCCAACGGCCAGGCCGAGCAACTGAACCGCGTTGTACAACACCTGTTGAGGCATTACATCAAGCCCAACCACGTGGACTAGGATGAGGAGCTTGCTCTCATCGCCAGTCTGTATAACAATGCGGTACGCACTGTCACTGGGGTGAGCCCGAACAGTTTACTACCGACTTTCAAGACTAGACTACCCCTTGACTTTCTCCTTCCTGAGAATGAATCAACTGCTGCACCGGGTACTTTAGAGTTTGCCTACAGATATGAACAGAAAATGCAGCAGGCAGTAGATCAGATGCAGAAGGCACAAGCAGCGATGATAGAGTCCGAAAACCGACACCGTCGGCCTTCTACATTTCAGGTTGGGGATAGGGTCTGGGTTAAGTCTTCAGAACTGGGACAGGAGTACGGGATCTCCCGCAAACTCATGCCTCAGTACTTTGGACCTTGGGAAGTCTTGGACATCGTCGGGACAGATCCGGATGGGCCATCTTACGTTATCCGGATTCCTGGTCATCTCCGTACTTACCCTGTTTTTCACGCCTCCAAGCTGGCACCTTTCAAAGAGACTGACCAGTTTCCATCTCGTCACTCAATGCTGCTCCCAACCATGGACGGAGAGGTGGACATTGATGATATTGTTGCACCGGGTACTTTAGAGTTTGCCTACAGATATGAACAGAAAATGCAGCAGGCAGTAGAACAGATGCAGAAGGCACAGGCAGCGATGATAGAGTCCGAAAACCGACACCGCCGGCCTTCTGCATTTCAGGTTGGGGATAGGGTCTGGGTCAAGTCTTCAAAACTGGGACAGGAGTACGGGATCTCCCGCAAACTCATGCCTCAGTACTTTGGACCTTGGGAAGTCTTGGACATGGTCGGGACAGATCCGGATGGGCCATCTTACGTTATCCGGATTCCTGGTCATCTCCGTACTTACCTTGTTCTTCACGCCTCCAAGCTGGCACCTTTCAAAGAGACTGACCAGTTTCCATCTCGTCGCTCAATGCTGCCCCCAACCATGGACGGAGGGGTGGACATTGATGATATTGTGGATCACAGAGAGCTGCCGGTATCAAGACCAGCAGGCAGGGGACGTCCTCCAAAACCGAAGCTGCAGTACCGCGTTCAGTTCCGACATCACACTGATCCGAAGGAGGACCGCTGGTTCACCAGGGAAGAGCTCATGCAGACCGCTCCTCAAGTTGTAACTCAATATGAGAGATCTCTGCAGAAGGGAAAGCGCCCTATGATCGAAGATTGAGCTTCTCAGAGGACTGTTGAAGCTAAGGAGGAGGGAATGCGAGGC